AGCGAGGGAAGATCCCGGAGCAGGAAGCAGATCCAGGCCGGGATCGGGATCAGGATCGGGATCCTTTGGGAAATCTGGGAATTTCCCCCTCCATGGAGAGGAGGAGCCCGGGAGGGAACGGAGCTCCGGGAGCCGCATTCCAGGGGATCCCTGGGATGGGATCCAGGGGGATCCAGGGGGATGGGATCCATGGGATCAATGGGAACAATGGGATGGGATCCATGGGGATCCGTGGGATCCATGGGATGGGATCCATGGGATCAGTGGGAACAATGGGATCTCTGGGATGGGATCCAGGGGGATCCGTGGGATGGGATCCATGGGATCAATGGGAACAATGGGATCCCTGGGATGGGATCCAGGGGGATCCGGGGGGATGGGATCAGTGGGATCAATGGGATGCATGGGATCAATGGGATGGGATCAATGGGATGGGATTGATGGGATCCATGGGATCAATGGGATCCCTGGGATGGGATCAATGGGATGGGATCCATGGGATGGGATTGATGGGATCCATGGGATCAATGGGATCCCTGGGATGGGATCAGTGGGATCAATGGGATGGGATTGATGGGATCCCTGGGATCAATGGGATCCCTGGGATGGGATCCAGGGGGATCCATGGGATGGGATCAATGGGATGAGATTGATGGGATCCATGGGATCAATGGGATCCCTGGGATGGGATCAGTGGGATCCATGGGATGGGATTCCCTGGTCCCATCCCAGGACCATCATTCCCTGCTCCCATCCCGTTATCCCTGATCCAATCCCGTCATTCCTGATCCCATCCCCTTATCCCGTTATCCCATTCCCATTATCCCACATTCCCACATTCCCACTGTTATTCCCAATGCTTTTCCCGACATTCCCGATGTCATTCCCGTACCCGAGTGTGTCCGCAGGCGGCCGCTGAGCGCGTCACAGCGCCGGCACTGCCGTTATCCCATTATCCCATTCCCGTTATCCCATTATCCCATTCCCGTTATCCCATTCCCGTTATCCCATTCCCGTTATCCCATTCCCGTTATCCCATTATCCCATTCCCGTTATCCCGATATTCCCGCTGTTCCCGTACCCGAGTGTGTCCGGAGGTGGCCGCTGAGCGCGTCGCGGCGCCGGCACTGCCGTTATCCCGTTATCCCATTCCCGTTATCCCATTATCCCATTCCCATTATCCCGATATTCCCATTATCCCGATATTCCCGACGTTCCCGTACCCGAGTGTGTCCGCAGGTGGCCGCTGAGCGCGTCGCGGCGCCGGCACTGCCGTTATCCCATTATCCCATTCCCGTTATCCCATTCCTGTTATCCCATTCCCGTTATCCCATTCCCGTTATCCCATTCCCAATATCCCATTATCCCAACATTCCCGACATTCCCGTTATCCCGATATTCCCAACATTCCGTACCCGAGTGTGTCCGCAGGTGGCCGCTGAGCGCGTCACAGCGCCGGCACTGCCGTTATCCCATTATCCCATTCCCGTTATCCCATTCCCAATATCCCATTATCCCAACATTCCCGATATTCCCGTTATCCCGACATTCCCGATATTCCCATTATCCCGATATTCCCGTTATCCCGATATTCCCGACGTTCCCGTACCCGAGTGTGTCCGGAGGTGGCCGCTGAGCGCGTCGCGGCGCCGGCACTGCCGTTATCCCATTATCCCATTCCCGTTATCCCATTCCCAATATCCCATTATCCCATTCCCATTATCCCGATGTTCCCATTATCCCGACATTCCCGATGTCATTCCCGTACCCGAGTGTGTCCGCAGGTGGCCGCTGAGCGCATCACGGCGCCGGCACTGCTGTTATCCCATTATCCCATTCCCGTTATCCCATTCCTGTTATCCCATTCCCGTTATCCCATTATCCCATTCCCGTTATCCCATTATCCCATTCCCGTTATCCCATTATCCCGACATTCCCGTTATCCCATTATCCCATTCCCGTTATCCCATTATCCCATTCCTGTTATCCCATTATCCCATTCCTGTTATCCCATTATCCCATTCCCGTTATCCCATTATCCCATTCCCGTTATCCCATTATCCCATTCCCGTTATCCCATTCCCGTTA